AATCCGCGGCCTCAATTAAGCGAGTGCGGTGTTTCATTAACCCCCCCCTCCCCGCCGACTCCTCCTCCTCCCCCCACACCCCCACCTCCGTCCACCGCGTCGTTTCCCGGCGAGCGCGATTGTAGCGTCGGATTCTGCTCGTTTGTGTTGCATCCCTGAAGCCGGGGCCAAATTGCGGCCGCCCCCCCCCCACCCCGCCGTTCCCCCCGCCCCCCTCCCACGAAGCGACGACCGCCACCACCGCCCCTAGTCCCTTCCGAGATTTGTCGCTTCCCAATGGACATTTACTCATCGCAGCCAACTTCACAGCCACATCAAATTCACACATGCGGCCGGTACCATTAGCATGCCAATTTGCATGTCATTATGGTTATCTGTGGCGGTGGTGTTTTGCACCGAGCCAACTGCCCTTACTATGTGTAATTTTACGCAAAAGTGAAAACTTGAAATGTAATTTCTGGCTCGTCTTGTCCGAGCCACTGCTGGACGAAGGACCTTGTCACGCCGTGTCGGTCGTTGGGGCCTGTTTGACCGTACTTCACCGGCCTGGTCCATGCAGGGTTGGCGAAGGTGGTCATTTTGTGTAAACATGCAAATCGTAAAATAATAAACATGTGCAGTGCGCCGTCAATGTCATTCAAGTTATCAAGGAAAACCTCACCGAGTCTCAAGACTAGTTTTTTTAGGTGGGTCCTGCATTGGAACAATTGGCCGTTGCCATTTTGAACGTTCTTGTGTGTGGGTGGAACACAAAAAAAACGCTTTTGTATCTTGGTAAAAAAACAGAAAACAGTTTCTCTGGTCCGTGGCACCAACCACCCAGCGGAACGTGATGCAGAGCGAGTCTTGATGGGGAGGGCACTGAAGTGCCGCATGTGTGCCCATTTCTGCCATCTCTAGTAAAACTATATATAAAATATTTTTTATTTGACCAGGTAAGGCCCATTGAGCTATTTTCCAGAAACAAGCTGGCTTTCACAAATGATAGCTCAACGAAGTGGCTTATCATCGTGTGAAAATTCATAGCATCCAAATACTCTAAACACACATTTGTAAATGTTGAGGGCAAAACTGGAGGACCCTGAGAAAAATCCACTCGACCACAGCGAGATAGACACACAAACTCCAAATATACAGGTGTCAGGGTTGGACTCGAATCGACGACCTCCTGTATACCAGGTCGAGGTAGTTAACGTCTCGCCACCGAGTCACCCCTAACTTACTCCGCCAACTATCTACGGGCCTCATGAAGAATACAAATAAAACCCACCGCACGGAAGGTGATCTCCACGATGACCGCCACGCCAACCGGCTCGCGAACCTACCCGAGGCACTACTGCCTCCTGGTCACCTCGTGAGTTTCACAAATCTCTACGGGATCCGCCAAACCCCTTGCGCCTCCAAGAGCGCTTGATCACGGGCGTGTTGCCACTACAAAGCGAGGCTGTTGGTGATGATCCTCAGCAGCAACTCGATGATCACCAGGTGTCTGGGTGGTGTTAACACCTGCAGTCTCCGCTTGCCAGCGCGATTAGTTAAACAAGTTTGGGAAGAAATTACACTGATGCAATTCGCGTGGATTATGTAACGTTTTTTTCCCGCACGCGCGTTTGTCTTCAGCCGCGTTTAATTGGTGCAAGGGAAGCTGATTGGTAGCTGTCAGGGCAAAAAAAACATGCATACATCTGTAAATAGCCCCTTTTGCTCTGATTTGAGTCTCCATGTTTTGGGAAAGGCTTTGATTAATCTGGCTGATGTTCACTTAAGTCCTGAATAGCAACATAAATTTATTCCAAAGTTTGCCTCGTATTAATTGAACACGTAGTAGGCTTTCTCGCTCAATGTTACTCATTATCACGTTTTTTTGGGTTAGATCGCGTACATGTAAATGTGTCGTTCGTTAACCCATCTCCACCCGACACAGCCAATTAGTAAAGTTCGTGACGTTGTGAACAAAACACGTTCATTAGTGACTACTCCAGCACGCCGGTGTGTTGGGAATTAAACCCACGACGTTTTAGAATTTGGCTTGTATTGGATCATCTTTCAGAGATTCATTGTGATCTCCATTTTGCCAATGGACGGACGAAGCAATAACGCCTTCAACCTTGGTGGGAGAGCATAAAAAACCCGTTGACCGGTATGGTGGAATTGACAGTCTATCGTGCAGGCCATGTAACTGCATCAGGGCCCACATGCCAGAGCGGCTCTGCCACCGGAGGGAAACTGGGCAGGTGAAGGGCTGACCCCCCCACTTAATCGCTTGCACCAGGGCCCTTGTCATCGCTTGAAGTTCATGCCAAGCCCCTTTTGGACCCAAAACAATGCGAATTCAACCCCTGATCAAGCCTGGAGAGCTGAATGGAGTTCAAATGAAGCTCGCGAAACAAATATATTGTGAAAGACCCAACAGTTTGATCTTCCACAAATCTCACCCTAAATTGCATCCACTGCACAAACATGGAAAATGTAAAACCCTCCAGCATGGGACTGTGGTCATCCAGAACAGACCATACAACACATCACGATGTAATGTCTGATACACAAATGCAAAAGAGACATTGCAGCGATAACACTCCGCTGCTCCCGATGCAGTTACCTGGCTTGACCACCTGAATGTGAGATTGTAGTTGCAGCTCTGCTTCTACATCAGCCGTACGAAAGAAAGAAGACCACCTCAATGTGAGATTGTAGTTGCAGCTCTGCTTCTACATCAGCCGTACGAAAGAAAGAAGACCACCTCAATGTGAGATTGTAGTTTTTGCTCTGCGTCTACATCAGCCGTACGAAAGAAAGAAGACCACCTGAATGTGAGATTGTAGTTTTTGCTCTGCATTTACATCAGCCGTACGAAAGAAAGAAGACCACCTGAATGTGAGATTGTAGTTTTTGCTCTGCATTTACATCAGCCGTACGAAAGAAAGAAGACCACCTCAATGTGAGATTGTAGTTTTTGCTGTGTATCTACATCAGCCGTACGAAAGAAAGAAGACCACCTGAATGTGAGATTGTAGTTTTTGCTCTGCATCTACATCAGCCGTACGAAAGAAAGAAGACCACCTGAATGTGAGATTGTAGTTTTTGCTCTGCATCTACATCAGCCGTACGAAAGAAAGAAGACCACCTGAATGTGAGATTGTAGTTTTTGCTCTGCATTTACATCAGCCGTACGAAAGAAAGAAGACCACCTGAATGTGAGATTGTAGTTTTTGCTCTGCATTTACATCAGCCGTACGAAAGAAAGAAGACCACCTCAATGTGAGATTGTAGTTTTTGCTCTGCATCTACATCAGCCGTACGAAAGAAAGAAGACCACCTCAATGTGAGATTGTAGTTTTTGCTCTGCGTCTACATCAGCCGTACGAAAGAAAGAAGACCACCTGAATGTGAGATTGTAGTTTTTGCTCTGCATTTACATCAGCCGTACGAAAGAAAGAAGACCACCTGAATGTGAGATTGTAGTTTTTGCTCTGCATTTACATCAGCCGTACGAAAGAAAGAAGACCACCTCAATGTGAGATTGTAGTTTTTGCTGTGTATCTACATCAGCCGTACGAAAGAAAGAAGACCACCTGAATGTGAGATTGTAGTTTTTGCTCTGCATCTACATCAGCCGTACGAAAGAAAGAAGACCACCTGAATGTGAGATTGTAGTTTTTGCTCTGCATCTACATCAGCCGTACGAAAGAAAGAAGACCAACTGAATGTGAGATTGTAGTTTTTGCTCTGCATCTACATCAGCCGTACGAAAGAAAGAAGACCACCTGAATGTGAGATTGTAGTTTTTGCTCTGCATCTACATCAGCCGTACGAAAGAAAGAAGACCACCTGAATGTGAGATTGCAGTTTTTGCTCTGCATCTACATCAGCCGTACGAAAGAAAGAAGACCACCTGAATGTGAGATTGTAGTTTTTGCTCTGCATCTACATCAGCCGTACGAAAGAAAGAAGACCACCTGAATGTGAGATTGCAGTTTTTGCTCTGCATCTACATCAGCCGTACGAAAGAAAGAAGACCACCTGAATGTGAGATTGTAGTTTTTGCTCTGCATTTACATCAGCCGTACGAAAGAAAGAAGACCACCTGAATGTGAGATTGTAGTTTTTGCTCTGCATCTACATCAGCCGTACGAAAGAAAGAAGACCACCTGCATGTGAGATTGTAGTTTTTGCTCTGCATCTACATCAGCCGTACGAAAGAAAGAAGACCACCTGAATGTGAGATTGTAGTTTTTGCTCTGCGTCTACATCAGCCGTACGAAAGAAAGAAGACCACCTGAATGTGAGATTGCAGTTTTTGCTCTGCATCTACATCAGCCGTACGAAAGAAAGAAGACCACCTGAATGTGAGATTGTAGTTTTTGCTCTGCATTTACATCAGCCGTACGAAAGAAAGAAGACCACCTGAATGTGAGATTGCAGTTTTTGCTCTGCATCTACATCAGCCGTACGAAAGAAAGAAGACCACCTGAATGTGAGATTGTAGTTTTTGCTCTGCATTTACATCAGACGTACGAAAGAAAGAAGACCACCTGAATGTGAGATTGTAGTTTTTGCTCTGCATCTACATCAGCCGTACGAAAGAAAGAAGACCACCTGCATGTGAGATTGTAGTTTTTGCTCTGCATCTACATCAGCCGTACGAAAGAAAGAAGACCACCTGAATGTGAGATTGTAGTTGCAGCTCTGCGTCTACATCAGCCGTACGAAAGAAAGAAGACCACCTGAATGTGAGATTGTAGTTTTTGCTCTGCGTCTACATCAGCCATACGAAAGAAAGAAGACCACCTGAATGTGAGATTGTAGTTGCAGCTCTGCATTTACATCAGCCGTACGAAAGAAAGAAGGCCACCTGAATGTGAGATTGTAGTTTTTGCCCTGCATCTACATCAGCCGTACGAAAGAAAGAAGAAGGACCAGGGCACCACGCAAAGCCACGCTGCGCCGATGGGCCATGCGGCTTTTTGATGTGCGTGGAGGGGTGAGCCGCTGCTACTCACTCTCGGCGCGGGAGCAGGAGGCCAGGCAGACGAGCAGAGCTCCGGCCACCATGGCCAGCAGCGGCAAGCGGGCGAACACCGGCGACATCCCGGACGGCTCGGGCGATCGCGGGCGGCGGGTCAAAGCGGAGGGGAGCTGCTGCGGACCAGAGTCACCTGGTGCTCTCGACGTTCTGGATCAGACAAAACCTGGAGAGGGACAGAGACGGGAAGGAGAGAGTGGTGTCATTGATGGGCAGGTGGGGGATGTCTCGAGAGGGTCACTGTTGTCATCGTCATTGTTATCATCATCAGTCTCGTCCATCACTTCATGAGTGATGGTGGGTCTGAAAGAATTTCGACCGTGGTCATTTTTTTCTTTAGACGGTATCACTACTTCGTTCAATCTCGATCATCTTTCTTCTACCACTTTTCTCCCTGCATCCATCCACCTGGTTTTATGTTTTTGGGTCACTGCGAAGCCACACATTTGCTGGGAGGCTCAACTCGGACACAACGTGGAGTTGGCAGCCCCTTCCTCTGTGAGCCCCGCCCACTATTAGAGCCATGCCCACTCAGCCACTAGCACCGCCCACACAGGAAGCGGCCTCCTCACTCTTTATTATAACCACCAGCCTTTTGCCCGTCCAAGAACGGGTGTATTTCAGGAAATCTTAAACTTGCAAGCGAAAAGCAGACGTGATATTAATTGCATCAATTCGTGTGACACAGACTTCTTTCATTTAAAGGTTATAATCCCTTGTTCATCATGATGTCCTTTTTATTTCTGTCTCAATAGCGTTACGGAGATCGCGTGACGTGAGGGTTATGCCTTTGTAGTGAGGGTTGTAAGTTGAACCTGAGGAGGGGGGAGGAGGTGCCTCGCCCCCCCATGTGGAGTGACGTCACCCGCTAATTATTATTAATGGAGGGGGGGGGGTGTCCATTTGGAAGACGTCAGCTCTTCACGATTATTAATGAGGGGGCTCTTCGATGTGGAGTGACGTCACGCATGGGACACACAGACATTCTTGGCTCATTATAGTCGTAAATGAGTGGGAATCGAATCTGGTTAACAAAGCTCGTAGCACAGCGCGCTAACTTCTCCCCACACAAAGACAAAGATCCCTCCATATAGCCTGAACAGACTTGTTGGGGCAAGTGCTGTTAGTGAGCTCCTGTGAATGCTGGCACGGCGCATGAGGGCGTAGCTGGCCAATACCATGCCCGGCCGCCTTTACCTTCCCAGTGGGCAGACACACACATATACACTACGACATACACACACACACGAGGCTGAGATCATTGTCAGCTCAACACCCCCTTCGAACCAAGTACAAACCAAGCCCTGGGGGGGGGGGGGGGGGTGGGCGTGGGGGGCACGGGATAATGGGATCAGCTCATTTACGCGTGTAGCAATTCCGCACCAACACGGCCGGCGCCACGAGCAACAACACAACGGCCGCATTCATAAGTGGCGGATTAAATATATTCAGTGTGAAATTCGAGCGCTTGTCGAGAAATCTAAATCGAGGGGGGCCCTCCCCAGCCGACCCCTCCCCAGCCGACCCCGTCTCCCCACGGCAGACATACCTTCCCCCCGAACCTAGATCCTCGCTGGCCAACGCCGCTCCTGCATTGCCCGCTAAGTGCTCTGCCCTCCCCTGCCTCTGTGTTCATCCACCGCACTGCAGGTCACAGCAACACGCTTTGCTCGCTCGCTCGCTCGCCCACCCGCTCGCTCGCCCACCCACTCACTCGCCACACTGCAGGTCACAGCAACACGCTTTGCTCGCTCCCTCGCTCGCCCACCCGCTCGCTCGCCCACCCACTCACTCGCCACACTGCAGGTCACAGCAACACGCTTTCCTCGCTCGCTCGCTCACTCACTCGCCCCATTCACTCGCCCGCTCGCCCGCCCGCTCGCCCGCCCACTAACCCACTCGCCCGCCCGCCCACTCACTCACCCACTCGCTCACCCACTCGCTCACCCACTCACTCGCTCGCTCGCCCGCCCGCCCACTCGCCCGCCCGCCCGCCCGCCCACTCACCCACTCGCTCGCCCACTCACTCGCCCACTCGCTCGCCCACTCACTCGCCACACTGCAGGTCACACCACTTATCTTTCTGCTTCTTGCCTCGCCACTGCTCCACTCTGAAATTCCCTCTCCTCTCATCACCGTCGACATCATCGTCGTCACAACCGTCTCTTTTCCACAAGCTATTATATAACCGGGCTCAAGTCAAGACACGTGGTACACAGTTTAATAGTGCTGTTTGTTGCTGGCCGCTTGGCATTTTGGGCCACTGCTCCGCAACAGTGATGACAAAAAATGTAGCACCTTCCTCTCTCTCCGTACCCCCCCCCCCCACCTTTCCGTACCCCCCCCCCCCCATCATCGCAAACGCCTCCACGTTGTTACGTGACGCAGGGCGATCCATTCACGGATACCCCACTAAAATAACCTGGAGGCATTTTACCTTCAAAGCCTCCTCTCACGCGTCTCCCGCGAATCTCGAACACCTCGACAGCGTTCAAACAGCCGTTGGGAAGAAACAGGGTCGTGAAAAACGAGTAGGGTATCTTATCGACGGATCACCCTGTCAGATGCAATGACGCTGACGATGACATAAACAACAACGTACAGCAGCCCGCTGTTAATCGACTGCTGGATGAAGGCCTCCCAACCACCCCTCCAAGCCGTGCTTTTGCGTCGAGCCCCTGGGGGTGCGGCGCGAAACGTCGGGCACGCCGTCCGCGACAGACAAACAACGCGGCGTCGGGGAAAAGTTTCTGTGGTCGGGACCCCCGGAACTCGGCTCGCGAGGATCAAGAGCGGCGCACCAACGCCGGCCACGGCCGCTTGCGCCGGTTAATTGGTGGGGGGGGGGGGGGCGGCGAAGGGGGGGGGCATCATCGTTAGCGGCTGTGGACCCGTCCACGCTGGTAATTGCCGCCGCCCGCCGCTGATTTTGGAGCACCGTGTGGGCTGTCAGTGGCCACGTCCATCAATCCGCGAGGACAGAGCCCACAACACCCCCCCCACACACCCTGCACAGTCCTGTAGCACTGGGGGGGGGGGGGGGGGACGGGGGTTGGAGGGGGCTGACCCCCCCCCCCCAAACTTCGGAAGGTTCAGTCCCCCCCCCTGTAAAGTATTCCGAAGTCAAAATTAAGCAATGGCAGCAACGGGGGGTGAGCGCCAGAGCAGAACGCACGGTAGACGCGGGCGGATCGCGTCGTTACTCATTCCGTTGAGCGTTAAACATCACTTTAAAGTTTGTTTAACGCTGACTGTGCCGAAGCGCCCCCCCCCCGCCCCCCATGAGTAATTTACCCCCCCACCACCACCCCTCTCGTGCAGCCACCACAAGCAGCAGGGATTGCTCCAACATTCGCTTCTTTTCTCTGTGTGTTTTTTTTGAATCTTCAAGAGCGCACGGCGTTTTTGTTTTGCTGCCCCAATTAGACGTTCGCTCCGACTCCGCTTTGCTTAACGATGTCTGTGAAGCCGCGGGTTCCACTTGGAATGCGTTCGTTAGGGATGCGGGCCCGAGATGAAGCCAATCTCAGCTGGGCTGACACTGGCACGTCCTCCCCTCCATCCTGATACGATCGCTCCCCCTCCCTCCTCGTCATCCACCGCCACACCCAGCCTGTTTCTCTGCTCACCACTTTGCGCAATGCCTCAGCCCTCCTCGGTCGTACAAGGACATCAAAGCCTCCACCAGGCCCCTTCTGCTGGAGGAAGGCCTCCTCCCTAAGCCAGGGTGCTCTTTGTGGTGGTATTTAAAAGTCACGTCTTTTCCCCGAAATGATTGAAATTGTGCTTCCGGCGTCGTTTAACGGGATGAAATTCCCGTTTTGGAAATCTCGCGGTGCAGCTCGTCACCTTATGTGAGAGAATGGTTCGCTGAAGGAGGTAAAACAGAACTACTTCTGAGATCCAGCCAAATCATTTGAATTCTCGGAGCTGGAATTTCCCCCCCAATTCAACTGCGAATCCCCAAATGTGACGACGATGGGTTTTGTATCACGGCGCAGTTGGTGGCTGGCCTGACAGCGCGGACCGTCGTCAACTCGCCACACTCGCAGAAAACGAGCTGTAACCCCAGACGCGAACCCAGGCATCTCAGCGGTGCCGGCTCAAGGGTGCCGCCCGCTGATCCCCGAGCCATTCCTTGTCACCCACCTCCTCTTTCATCGAAGTGGCGCAAGGAGAAACCGCACGCAGCCCAAAACGCCCACTTGCTGGAGCAATCCTTCGCAAACGTCCGGCGCATTTGATTTATGCGAGCGCCGTAATGGCTCGAGTCGGGCAGCATTCCCACTTGGGGCGGGGGGCTCGCACGTGATGGAGAAGGGGGGTGGGGGGTAGGCAATTGGGGGGCGGGAGAAGTCGGGCGCGGGAGCTTGGCCGTGATCTGCTACCATGAGCACCCAGTGCCATGTGGGTTTACTGCGGCCTATTTCAATCCCCCCAAATCTCCAACTGTGGCCCAACCCTGGACAGATTTAGATCCCCGGCTCTGGCATTTCAGCCTCGCGTGCCATGCGCAGTGGGTAAGAGAGAGATAAAAAAAAATATAAACTTAAAAATAAAAGAGGGCCCAGACTGGGGGGAGGGGTGGAGTGTGGGGGGGGGGGCATGTGGTCCAAAGTTCTGGAACACGTCTGATTCAGTTATTTGATGCTCTTTGATCAATTTTCTGCTGGATGATAGCCTCCCCGCGCCTCGTCTCGGTCATGGGGATTGTTCGGGAACACTTCACCACGCTGGTGGTTGGCGAGGATTGGTCGGTAAAAAAGGTCAGGCTTGCGTCCATTGTTATTTCGTGTTTAACTAGATTGCACGTGGTGTGCCACGCGCAGAAATAATTTCTGGGTTGCCGACTCTGACCATTGTTGCCCCTCCATCACAGAACTTCGGGAACCTGAAGCGCATTTTCCGTGACACAGCCGTTCATGCGAGCGGGCAACTGAGCGGGCGAGTGACCTACCCACGCGGATGACCCCGGCGATGTTTGGCCAGGTGTGGGAGGGGGGAAATTGGCTCTCCCTGTAGGTCCGCTGCTGCACCCTGCTCGCCGCGGCAACGCTTCCTTGGTTTGCGTACATGCCGGTGACTCGACAGCGGACGTTTCAGATTTCCGCAAATAGACCCCCGCGTCAATCCAGGGCTGGCGCAGGTACTTTGGAAGGTATTCAC